ACGCGCACAATATTTGTGTGTGTGTGTGTGTGTCGACAACGATTCGAATGAAAGGAACGACAAAAAAAAACGCAGACACTGATAGTATTATGACAAATGGTCGCGACAATCCAAACATCGTTAACATAAGCTTTGAGATGTCTGCCTTTCTCGTTCGCACTGAAGATGAGGAAAAAAAAACAAAAACAAATGACTCGTCATTTATGTGCCTTTTATGATTAAACGGATCGAACGTTGCAGTTGTGGCAAAAAAAAGGAGGCATTTGCCTTTGAAATTTCAGGGAATCCTAAATTTTGTTTATATTCATCAGATGTCTGTCGCTCTCTGATTATACGTTGTCATTGTTATTGACTTTTCTTTGCCTTTTTTTACCGCACATCATAATATTATTACGATTATAATCGAATTGAAAAGGAGACATAAAGGCGATCTCACACACTATAACCCTTATCTTTATGTAAAATTGGCACGATGAATGTCGTGATTAACGGCGCTTAACTACGATCACAGCTATCATAGAAGTGCATGCAAAATAATAACAGTGGCAATATTTCAATGAAAAAAACTAATTGCAACGTAAACATCGTCGTTTGCCGAGCTAGAGATGCGCGAAGCGGAGAGGAATAGATTTCGATTTATTTATTTTTTGTTTCTCAATTGGAAGGACTCTCTCAAGATAGAACTCAGTTGTCAATCCAAATTCAAACGTGCGAATCGACTTGTCGATTAGATAATCGAACTAAATATTGTGAATGGGCGCAGTGCATCTGGCGACAGCGGCACACTATATATATAAAATGGGATGGCTTCAACCTTCACCGACTTAATTAACACAATATCAGACCTTTGGCTCAATCCTTTCTCTCTCTCTCTCTCTCTCTCAATCGGTCATCGTATGCACTTTCTACGACTTTGAAATATTTACAACATTTTCTCGAACGCAAATACTATTCGATTGATACAGGAAGATTGAAAAGTAGAATGAACAGAAGAAGAAGAAAAAATCGAAAAGAAAAAACGAGTCGTACGCAAAAAGTGTCAAGATCTGATTCAGCAATTTTCTTCAAAATATAAATGCCCGTAATTAATTACGATGAATAAATGTGGACGTATTGAGTGATAAAGTGGTTTCGATTGAGAAAGAATTTCCAGATTTGACCGATTGAGAAGATCGTGATTTATTGTAAACGTTGAACGAACCGTACTGCCCTTCCAGCTTTCACACGCATTTTCAAACGACAAACAAAACAAATGATTAAAGTTTTCTTTTTGTTGTGAGACTGAAATGCGTCTGGTCATTCCAGACACATTCCGTTTTGCTATTTTTTGTAGTCGTAGAGATATACACAAAAAAATTGGTTTATATTTAGACAAAGAAAAAAAAACCGGTGACACGAAATTCAATTCTCTCAACGGTCACTCACGAGTGATGTTTTTTTGTGTGTGTGTGTAGCTGTTGCTGCAACAAATCAGCGATAGTGCGTGTGACTTATCATCAATCGAATGGCATTCGTACAAACATTAAATTCGTGTAATAGGTCCAATCGCACAAAAAAAATTTAATCGTGTAATTTGAGAATGGAAATGAATTGACTATGAATATGTTTGGAATACAAATCAATTTTCAGAGTCACATCATCTGATGTGTGTGCCTTTTTCTTCTTCTTCGTCTGACCTATGGAATTGAGCGTAAAAAAAGTGTCTCTATATGAAATATAAGTATGTAGGGAAATAAGAAGAAGTGAAGAAAAAGAAGCAGGAGCAAAAAAATGCCGTCAAACCGATAAAGCCAATACGAGTAAGTGTTACTTTTTGTCAGAAAATTGTTCAACACGTCGAACGGCGTTTGATGATGATGCACGCTACACTACTTACACTTTTTACAACTTTTTCCGTCGAATGACACTGAATGTCGACTTCGTAACTAATCATGCTCGTAAGCGATCGCAAGCAATTACAATTCTAGTGAGTGCAGCTTTTTTTCGTTGTTCGTTCTTTTCGCAGAAAAAAAACATCCTAATCAGCATGGACAAGAATCACTCGACAAAGAGAGGATATATGCGGAAAAAAAGAACACACGATAGAAATAAGCCCAGAAAGTGTTTATGTTTCCAATCGAAAACCATTTCTCTGTGAAATGAATTTACAGCAAATGCATGCTTAGTTCGTTTTTTTTTCTCTTTCAATTCACTCGTTTGTTCGTTCAATTCTCTCGCACGCCCGTTCTCGCGATGTTTTCATAATTCAACTTTGCATGACAGATTTACATTTTCAACGCTTTGTAATTGAAATGATTGGCAATATATGTGAAGTTTGCTGATATTTCTTGTTGATGTTGTTGTTGTTGCTTTTATTTTTGTGTTGTATGTGTTGCTGTGTGTGTTTTTTTTTCGTTCGATCGTTCCGTGTTTGTAAAGTTACACGTTTTATGCTCAAGCTCGTCATAATCGTATGGCTTGAAATTGACGCGATCGCGAACCAACAAAAAAAAAACAACGCACATATAACGCACAAAAACATATGCTCCATTGAAGGTGCAAGCGAGAAAAAAGCGAGAACAACATAAATAATTGAGTTGCGGTTGCACTTTATGCAAAGAAAAAACAATTGCTAAACACTTAAATTATTTATTGCTAATAAAACGAATAAAAAAATAATAATACCAACAACACAAACGCAGAGCAGAGAGCTCAAGAAGTGGCAACAGAAGATATTCAGTAGAACAGCAACTGTTGCTGTTGCTGAGCAACAAGAAAAAAAAATAGTATCGAAGCATACACAAAACACACATACTATGTGTACACATATTATTTTCTTTTCATTGTAACATTTTTAGAGGGAAGGAAAAAAAAGCAGCGAGGTCTTTAAGGAGGAGATAAATACAACCAAGATGCGATGGTTTCAAGAAAGAGCTTACATTTTATTCGTCTTCTTCATTCTTGTTGCATCGATATTTTTACATACATAAATAATAATCAGGTATGGAATTGGTTAAAAGGGAACTAACGTTCGGCGCTCACATGAACGCGAATCGCATTCATGAAACCGGCCAAAGAGAGACAGAGAATGCATTTAAAGTTCCATATTGGTTTTTTTACAACCATGTTTGTGCGCACACAGTGTGTGTACGATTTGTTTCATTCAAATTGCGGTAGCGCTAGAGTGGACACCGCGTCAAATGAGCTAACGAATTCTCAACTGATAATTAATTTTACTGGGAAAATACCATTCTTCGAATGCAAACCTTCAAATAGGTGAAATTGCGCAGAACATTGGTAGCATCATCGCAACCACGACGGCAACGAAAATAGAAGAGAGACAAAAACATGGACGACTCCACGCCACTCAGAATGGTCTACTATCTACTATTTTTTTTTTCTTGCTGTTGCTATTTTGTTTTCATCTGATGCACAATTTTTTGTTCGTTTTATTTCCGATTTGAGCGAAGAAAAAAAAAACAAGTTATGAATAAAATAAGAAGTTGGCGCAAAAGTATCCGAGGAAAACAGAAATACACAAAGCAGAAAATTGCGATTATAATTGCTCGCAGCAATTATGAAACAAAAGAAGAGGAAAACGCACACACACACACACGACGACGACGACGACGACGGCGAAGACTTTAGCAATGTAGACATTGGAAAAGCTCGAAAACAAAACAAATGCCAACACCGATCGCGATATGCGAGAGTAGCTGAACTCTGGCTCTTTCGTCGCGTGCGTTTCAGGTGCGTAAAATAGATCGCATTAACACGTATCTAGCCATGTATGGGGGACTGTATGACGATTGAAGATCATCAGCCATCAACACGACACACAACGACACGGCAACATCAACAACAGCAACAGCAACAGCAGCAAGGCCATGAAATGCAAAGAAGAAAATGTTACTGCAGAAGAAAAAACAACAACAAAAAAGTGTGTACACACAACACACTCCATGACAAAGGAGCGCGGCGCAACAATGACGATAAAACTAACTTTGACGGCAACGGAAAAATATCTGCGCGTCGTTGTTTTTATTTTTGCTTTTCTTCTGTCTACACACGCAAAACGAATAGAAACACTTTGTGTTCCTCACGGCAATGATAATTCTTTTTAATCACTCCGTCGTGTGTACAATCCAACTCGAAAAATGTATGCTTTTTGAGATTGTTTGTAGATTTATTTGCTTTGATTATCCGGCATCCCGTGTCAACAATCATTTTTGCGTTCTTAAAAAACATGAAGCGCAATGGGCACATTTATCCGAAGAAAATTTGCAAATAAGTAGCTTTTCTGATATCTCACCGAAAAGTGTGAAAATCAGATTTGGGGGCAAAAGAAAATGAAACTGGAACTGAATCGGCGCGGTGGATACACGGATTTACAAAAGCATACCAAATAGAAGAGGAAAACAAAACATATTCACTCTGAACGCTTGATTTGTCAAAATTCAAGCGAAACAAATGGGTTGATATGGCGTTCAATAAAAACAATGAAGCAATCTTTCCATCAGATTTGCACATGAACCAAAAAAGAAAAACAACAAAAAATTTGTAACACCAGAATATAGATGGAGAAAGAGAAGAAACCATAGCGCTTAACGAAAATGAAAATCACGACACAATCAATTTATGACAAAATTCTTAAACACACAAGCGATTTGGACAGTTGGACTCAGTTAATGTTTGTTTTTTGCAAAAATTGTTTATTTCATCCAAAAGCCAAATGGTTTTATATTTTCTTAAATTGTTGTTGTAGTCAGAACACCGGTCAAAATCATAAAAAAACGCTTTTAAATAAAATATCCATGTTAAAATGTTAATGAAGGCAATTCCACAAGGATTCCATCGTTTTGGTTCATTACTTTTATTTTCAATGTGTGTGCGAAGGTTTTTCTTGGAATGAAAAGCAGATAGAAATAAAGGGAAAGTAAGAAGCTGCAAGCGCGACGCAATTTCGACATTGCCGTCGCCAGTGCAACGATTTAGTGATTTCGTGTAGAATGTTTACTCACCCAATGCATCACAGGGCGCTCTTCAGTACACACGCCCATGTGCTTCTCTGATACCGCTTCACCAATACTTGGCAACGGGTCACGAAACCGTGATCCTTCGAAACTGATCAGATTATCGTGAGCCACTGGAACGGAATACGCACAAATATCGATAGCCGAAAAAAAAAAAAAAGCCGATCGAACACTTTTTCTTTGAATTCGATTGATCGTTCGTTGAGAGTTTTACTTTTCGGTTTTGGGTATCACTGCTTGAGAACAAATAGAAAACTTTTCTTCATACTTTTTGGGTTCAAAACAACAATTTTTTTTTTTTTTTTTTGAAAATTCAACAATTATCCATTTTTTCCTAGTTCGTTTCACACTATAGCAGTCAATTCAAACACTTGAAATTGCATTTCCACAACAATTGAAAACTGTGAATTGGTTCGTAAATTCCTATGCACAGTGTCCACTTTCTTTTGTCAAATGCCACCGATTATTTCGGGCAAACAAAATGATTGCGACGAAATAAAAACCAACATTCGTCGATCATATGAGTTGAATGTGCAAATTGGAAGTCGTCAACTTCAATAGCACTCTCGCGTGGCTGAGTGAAGTAGAAGATTTTCTTAAATTCTGGCGCTAGTCGGCTCTCGTACTATTTGCCTCCACATTCGAAGGCTTCACGGACTTATTTGCTGAAGTGTTTATCATGCACTGCATACGACAACGATTATTCTAATTATGTAAACAAATACTTCTTTTATTTATCTTCTTATCGGTGCAGTGGAATTAGAGTTTGTCGCAATGGCTATCAAATTTTATACATATATATTCTTCTGCTGCTACTGCGGCGTTTCTTATATTTTTCTAGCTCGCTCTTGTTGTTGTGTAGTTTTTCGTTATTTGTGTTTTCCTTCTGTTGTCGCTGTATTTCTTCCGTCTTTTGAATAGAAAAAAATCGCGTAATCGCGCGTCTCACACAAAATCAATTCAAACACTAGCCACTTGACACATTTATCGAAACTACAAACTCAATGTTTTTATTTAATTTTATTTATTTATTTTTTTCCTTTGATGAATATTTCTTCTCTTCGCTTGGTTTTTTTGTTTTGTCAAATTTTTCGTCGTCGATTTTTTTTTCTTCACATTTTATGCGAATACGATTTTATGTTTTCCGAATCGAATGTCGTACGTAATATTCGTTCGAATATGTTTTCAGTGTTTTTCAATAATCGCGTGCGTACTCTTTGCAACGAACCGAACGCATGCGCATCATACAACGCATTAATGTTCAACAACACTGTGGATTAATACTTTACGTAGCCGAGTCGAAAACCCCTTAATAAGCGATACACGAAACCGTACACACGCATACACACATACACTCCATACCCATGCATTTCCACATACACATATGCACAGTCATTCGCCTCTCTATCTCGCCACATACATAGAGGCGCACACGCGAGCCGACACACACAGAATCGCCAAGCCAGGCAGCAGCCGAGACAGAGATGGAGATGTGAGAAAAGACGAACGAACGAATAAAATGAAGAAGCAGTCGAACGAAACGAATACGGCTTTTTCAGAATGAGAAATACACAACACACACGGCAATTCCACTCGTTTTCTCTCTCTAGATCGACCAAACTGAATAGTAGTTGTAGCAAGCAGCAGCAACAGCAATAAATGAAATATAATCACTGAACGATATTCAGCTTCGGAATCGATGTGCTTGTGTGCGGTGCACAATGACGATACACTTCGACAGCCATAGATGAGTGTGCAAAGAACCAAACTATGCTATGAAATGTTTGCACTCTCTTTCGCTCCTACTCTACCAACGTGAATACCGCTGAAAATGTATCGAATTTTATTTGTGTGAACGCAACCGACATCGCTCAAAATTATATTGAAAATACTTGCGTTGAAATTGTTTGAAAATTGCTCTGTGCTGCACGAGAGAAAAGAAGACAAGACGGAAAACGAAGTGAAAAGGGGAAAAAACAGAAACAACAGTGGCCGCATGTTGTACGGCCCGGGCAAAAAAGCTTAGTATTGTTGTTTACATACGCATCTTTGCGTGAACAGAAAACAAAAACAACACAAAACACACATAGCTATAGAGGAAAAAGAGAGGCTCACCGAACCGTACCAACGCACGGCGTTGCTATGCCGTACATGCGATGCAAGTATATAACATTACAAAAGGCGGATACAATGGGTGGCGCATAAGCGTAAAAACGGTTACGTTGCTTCCTACGGCTACGACGAATGCATTGACGCGAAAGAGACCACTACATTTGTTCCGTAGTACATAAGGCGAGCCAACAAGTTTTCAGGAGAATTGTTGCCGTGATTTTTGTTGTTGTATTGTTAGTGGTGTTGTCGTTGTTGTTGTTGTTATGTTGTTCACCAAATAAAGTGCGTTTGGCGGAGAACATGACGCTTTTGCCGTTGTATTCATGATGAACGATGGTGGTTGATTGCAAGCGAAAAGTCTCTCGTTTTCTTCACATTCATTCATTTACATTCTAACGGCATTGTTCACTGATTGTTTGCCGATCAAATAAATAAATTCACACTTAAATGTCATCGTTTAGTGAATCATCAAGCGATGAAACACAATATGTTTGCACTCACACGGATTAACCGTGTACTGGGGTTGTGTGACTCAAGCAATTGCTGTGCATAATTTACCATGACAAAAATGCTTTGACTTCGAATCGTGCGATGATAAATACAACAGCCTTTGGCTTTGCGATTGAACATAAGCCATCCCGGACGATGGATGGAATTGAATCAAAATCCGATCGAAATGCGATGACTTTAAATTGTTCACGTTTTGACACATTTTTTTTTCTCTTCTTCAAAACTTTTTTTTTCTTCTTGAGCGCTGTTTATTTGGATTGTGATTCGAACAAGCAGATCAAATCGTTTCACTCGGGAATAGGTAGAGAAAAAAAATCCTGTCTCACAATGAAATTGTGACATTCAACAATCAATGACACAACTATCGACCGACTACGAATGAACGAATGAAAAAAAAAACAACCAAGATGATGTGAATGACATCTTAAATTAATAATGAATTCTAAAGTAAAAATCGGAATAAAAAGCATTTCGTTGTAATGAAATGTGAGTCGACTGCTGAAGACAAGCAGTCTATGTTTCAATTGTTTCGGCTGGCTTGAAATCGTTGTGTTTGTGTGTCGCGCCCGCGTGCGATTCAAATGTGAGATCATATATTTTGTCTCTCTTTCTCTTGCGCGCGCCCTGTTGCTTGAGCACACATTTGTCAATGTGTGACAAAGAGATATTTTGTAGCATAGGTTCTGACATAGTCTGATCTCGTTGATCCTGACCCCCCCTGGCAAAATTTGACCCCCAACGATTTTTTCGGACCCATTGCCATTTTCGGACCTTTTTTTTTGCTCCTCAATTTTGCTGCGAAGGGAACATTAACACTAGATAGAATGGATTGATTATGAAAATGATTTTACATTAGATAGAATTGATTTTTTTGACCCCCAAAGGAATTTTTGGTTTGACCCCCCCTGAAATTTTTGGTGTCAGAACCTATGTTTTGTAGTCATTCGGGCGCTCGCAAGTGATGTGTGCGATTTATTTCGCTTTTTTCTGTATATTCTTTCCCAATGTTTGGCCATTAGCATGCCAATGCACACACAAGCCGTTTAAGTTCAAAGCGCGTCGAACACATACAAATTATATCCACATTATACATATTGTATGTATCAAATATATATAAAATTATTCATTAACATTTTGTTACAAATAAAATTACGTATAGGATGACGATGATGTGTTTGTTCGGGAGACTGTTTTGCGTACAATGCGCTTGTGATGGCAATTTATCCATGGTTTTGTCTTATGAAATCTCTGTATGTGTGTGATGTTGTCACGGCATGCACTTCTCTTATTCACCATGAATTCGAGCCAAAGAGTCGGAATCCGAATGAGACAGATTCGATCACAAATCGTTGTGTCGGTGTTGTTGTTATGGTTGCTGTTGTTTTTGTCGATTGTGCGCGCGCTCTCGTTCCAAAAGTCTGAACAAGTGCAACACACGTAATCATTTAAGAGACGAAACCATCGCGGGCAACGAGTCATTAATCATACGTATGAATTCGAAGGTCATTTGAACACCACATCGCTCATTTGGCGTAGTAAGATAGTGTATGTGTGATTGTGTCGTTTTTTCTTCTTCTTCTTCGTTTCATGCGACTTCAGCACGATCGTTCGAGCATTCGATTACTGATTGATTGTATACCCAACAGAAAAACACGCTCCCCAACCAAAGAGCTACGCGAACACACTAAAATGATTTTTTCTCTGCAAGCATTTTATTTTGTTGTTGTTCCGCGAGTACATACAATGTCTGCATTTTGGCTATCTTCAACGGTTGTTTGTCGTGTTCACAACATTAAGCCGGGCTGTTTGTTTGTGTTTGGCCTGGAATTGAAACAAAAACAGCAACAACAGCACTGAAATGAAGAAAAATAGCGGCTATCACACACACACACACACACACACACAAAACTTGCAACCGCCTAAAGCAATAATGATGTGCCAAATCTGGAAAGAAACAACTCGATATCAAGTGATACAAGTGAAAGTAAGAAGAAAAAAAACGTGATTTTGAGAGCGCGGCTCAAACGAAACAAAAAAAAAATGAAAACAAAAGAAAACAAAATAATAAAATCGAATTTTGTGTGATTGCGAATGATATCTTTTTTTCCTTGCTGCGATGTGCAACGATTTTATTGCTGGCTGCATCCATCTCACCATTCAAATCGAACGCATATTCGTTCGCAACAAAGAATGATATCGTCTGCTTATTTAATTTTCAATATCATTGGAAATTATAGATTGAGATGTATAATTTCGATGAATACGTTGTACGTGTTCTGTGGCTTTTGAACAACGGACGGGGAAAAAAAAAGAGAAGCCCGACATGCAGTTGGCCACGATAATTCCAGCTTATTTCCAAAATAACGAAAGAGTAGCAATTCGAACGCCAACGCAATAATAAGCATCTATTATTTTAGCTCGCTGCTCTTTTTTCCGTTGTTGTTCTTGTTGTTGTTGCGGTTTTATCGCTTTCTTCATTATTATTGAAGGGGAAAAAGAGATGGCAAAAAAATTGCGTGTCTCTTGGCACACACTGGTCATCGATTCGATCTGATACAGCATTTTTCAATACCATTTTCGATCTCTGAACAGGTCGTTATTTGTAAAAAAATTTTGTGAATAGTTTTTTCCATCTCTCTCTGTTCGTATGCTGAAAAGATACAACACAAACAATGGACAAGAAACAGCGTAATCGGAACTTATGTCCAAATGATCGAGTGGCTTAATTCAAATATCATCTTATTAAAGGCACCTTTTTTTTGCCATGTTCCAATCATATATTGTATAGGCGAAACAATACGCGCCAAACCGAATCGATCCCATTCACATTTTTGTGTTCCGAATTTTCAGATGATGATTGGCATGTTTGTTGCCGCAATTTATGGCCCACAAAATAACACCATGTACACTGGGCATGTACATTTAGCCAGTTGTTTCGACAAATTTGCCAAATTTGAATCGATCGAAATGCGAACAATCAACTGATGAGACCCAAAATTAGGTGACCATTTTTTCTTCTTCTTCGAACAAACCGATATAAACACAACCCAAATGCCGTCATTCGATTTGACTTTTATTCGTTTCATTTCGCACAAAACTTCCAATTCAGATGCAATCAATGCTTTAATCAATATACAAATTGCAGAGTTTGCCCTGAAATTAGGGTCCATTGAATGAATTCCGTTAGCATTGGGAAATATCATGTTAATAAATAAATGACTCGAAGAACATCATTTTCGCGGCAAGAAAATGTATTCAAATTTTTTATTCCGTTTGCAGTTCGGTTCTCTGCCTCTCTCCTCCTGAGCCGTCGAAATAAATCTAACTGTGCCGTGCAAAAGTGCGTCTGTGTGCAACAGAGTACTCCAGCACAGCAAGATTCATTTAATTAAGATTGAAATGGGAAAATATGGTTCGCATCGTTGTTTGTGGTAGCATTTCGATATGAGATGATGATGATGTTTTTTTGTTGTTGTTGCGCCGATGTCATTGTTAAACCGATCCGAACGCTTGAGCTATTGTAGCTGCTGTAACAATTTAACACACACACACAAAAAAAAGAGAGAAGAAAATGAGATGGGTTGTAACCGCTACGGTACTTGGTGTATGCATCACACGCACTCG